GTAGAGTGATGCTGACCGAGAGTAGGAGAAGAAATGAGGAGTGATTCAGCGGCCTGGTTAGCTTATGCTTTCTCACGAGAGTCTGAATCGTATAGTGTGAGGAAGCTTGTGGGACCCAGAGAGACGGTGGTTGGATACGACATACCACTTCCTGTGGCGTTAGAAGAGGCAGGGCGTGTACCGATACGATACTTGGGAACGTGGCTCGCAGAGGAGCTCTTCCTATGGACAGTGATACTACGTGACGAACGACCCGAGAGGACTCATGATCTAGAAGGGGTCGGACATCTAATAGCGGATAGAACACACAATTTAGACATAGGGCTAACGCTCGCAGGGGCGAGCAGGAATTGGAGGAGAAGCGAGTTGTTGGCCAGAGTGATCGTTAATCAGCAATTGGCGAGACTCTCTGGAGGGAGGACAAGTAGGAGCTGCTTGATATACGGTCCACCACATCCGACTTTCTACCCGAGAAAGGATTGGCGATTCGCAGTTCCTACCTTCGTGATAGAGCAGACCCATGGGAGCGTGGATCGTTTGAGGAGAGCAGTGGATCACACACTTTACGCGCTCTGGGAGGGCTTAGCGCCCCGCTTCAAGGAAGTATACTACGCCATTTGTGTGAGGTGGGGGCCGCCCAGTAGAGAGGCACTTGACGACATCATAGATGTTACGAGCTGGGTGGACTGTCTGAGGCCTATCGATCTGATTAGGTACTGCAGGAGACGGGCAGAGATCGATTACGCGGGGCTAGAGGACGCGAGATTTCTCTTCGAGGTCGTAGCTTAGGGAATGTCGGGAAGGACAGTCACGGTGATGCGTGTAGAAGAGCAACTGGTAAGCACAGGATACACTGTGACAGTACTTTTCCGAGCGTACGTAGACGAGGACTTGACGGCGAGTGGGTGCAGACAACGAGCTAGGGATTTGATCCACGAGCGTAGAGCTGATGTACTGGTGCGAGTGACCTTCCAGACCTTGATTTCCTATGATGTGATGATATGGTCTCATGGTTATATGAGCGCGGAGCACTACCACGAAGAGACGGTAGCGGAGGCTAGAGCGAAGGTGAGAGGGTGAGCTGGAGAAAGATGTGGACTGAGTATGGAAGAGGAGAGTGAGGCAGTCGGAAGAGTGAGAAAGCGCGTTAAAGAACCACTCTTGAACCAGGTAAAGCAGTTGGGGGACAAGTTAAGAAAGATCTGGTCGTGTCAAGACGAGGGCAAGTTGCGAAGGACTGAACTCGTGACAAGAGAGTTAGACAATCTGTTTAGGGAAGAAAGAGAGATTATCCAGGCGTGGAGATCAGACTTTTTGGAGAAGGTTAAGGCTAGAAGCGCATCACGCGAAGAAACTAGTAAGCGATCTGCAGAGAGCGAGACAACGGAAGACAAAGTAACGCAGGGGAGTAGCGACAGGACATGAGCGGGACTGCACTACACACGACGGATCGGTACTCATTACATGTGGTAGGGAGACTGGACGGACCATTAGTGTTAATGATCATAGAACTCCAGCTCCATACTAGATTGTGCATAGTTGAGGAGGCAGAGTGTTTCCGCCGTGCCCTGCGTGAGGCAAGGGGGACAGGACTTTGGATTGGAATAGAAGGAGGACGGAGGATCAAATACGTACTCCGAGTAACACCCTTCGAAGAGCGGTCTCGGATAAGGACATGGTACGAGACGACCAGAGAGGCTGAGAGGTTGAAGATAAGCGAAGTCAGAAAAGCTGGAGAGATAGGGAAAGTTGTAACAGATGGTGCAATACTCAGGGTGTTAGCCGCTCACAACCGGTACTGGAAGGAAACGATAAAGATTTTAGAGGCGACAGACGAAGGAGGAGATAATGAGGACTTTGAGACATTTTATGACATATTGGAGCGGTCGGCGATGAGGTTACAAGTCGTTATAGCACTAACTTACCTCAGCTGTTAGAMAGATGACCTCGTAGTCGTCTGGGAGATAAGGTAGTGGAAATAGAAATTGGAAGCTCTTGAAAGGATAGTGGAAGCTAGAGAGGTCGATGGGCGACTTTGGATGGCAGTATGAGGGCCTTTAGCGGGCTAACCGATTCAGACAGGGCTAGAAGAACTAGCAAGGAGGACGGAGAGAGACGCTCGGGGACTTTTGAGGAGTGTTGATCACGAGACATTAGCTAGGTTTGGGATTGCAATCTGTCTCAAGGATAGAGGTCCTGTCACGGGCGTACTGTGGATCCGGACAGGCACGGCCTTGTTGACCGATCCGAAAGGAGAGGTTACTTAGACACAGGGATTCTTGGGATAGAGAGAGAACACGAGATCTGCGACCGGTACGGGATACTGGAGGTGGTAATCAAAGCAGTCGAGAGCTAAGATTGGAGGCGCATGCGAGTCGTGATAAAGAAACAGGTCCGGGCTGCCGCAACTGTCACAGGTCCGGGCTGCAGCGACTGTCATAGGGTCGGGCTGTAACAGTTGGCTAGAATACCTAACTGCATCTTCTGGCGGTCCAATGGAACCCAACACGATGGGGCCACAACCGACCACGGGCGAAGCAGGAGAGGAGTACAGGGCATCGCCCAATCGAGCACTGAGGGATCTGAAGGAACGAATTAGGCAAGAAGCACCGCTGAGATGGGTTGACCAAACCAATGACGGAGGGCCCGACATGAGAGGCGAACCAGTTGCGACAGAGCCGCAGGAGGCTCTAAAGACGGGTACCTCGAGCGGACGACGAGAAGCGACGAGGCGGCGCTCCCCCGAGTACGAGCGGAGGGACACCATAGCGGACAGGTACAGAGACGACTGGAGAGAGAATTTGAGGGATTCCTATTGGAGGGACAGAGATAGAGACAGGGCGCCGCCCAGGCGAGTCTTCGACCCCCAGACAGGGGAGTCACATCCACTCCCTTACGAGAGCAAGGATCGCTATATTATTACGCACAAGGCCTCATAGCCTCTTACCCTTAGGGGTTATGGTATCACAGAATATCTGGAGAAGTGGGAGCTTTACGCCAGCCGGAGTCAGTGGTCGGAGGAAGAGATTATAGAGAACTTCCTATTTAATGTGGACCCAAGTCTTGGTAGGGAAGTTAAGGAAGCTCGACCGAAGGATGGGAAATGGACTACGTACAAGAAGAAGCTTGTTGAGCTTTACAAATTGGAGGATAACAAGTATTTCATCCAGAACCTTGAAACAATGACTCAAGATGAAGATGAGAGCGTACGGGCATTTGGGATGCGTTTCCAAAAGATCTCCGACGTGCTGATGAAGTAAAGGAAGATCTCAGCGGTCGAGCGCTGTACTATCTTCATCGGACACTTGTCCAAAGGTAGGCAAGAAAGTATACTTAGAGATCTTCCGCGCGACAGGCTTGATTTCCCTGAAGTCCTAAAGCTCGCGATAAAGGCGGAGGCAGACAATTACAAGGACTTGGTGTGGAGAGGGATGAGGAGACGTGACTTCTCTCTCTACAAGGAGTATGCCACTGATAGATGCCCTGATTTCAAGGACTATCCCTGGTCGAAGAAGAATGAGGCCGTGGCAGAGGAAGTGAAAGAGATACGGGACATGGTGAAGGGATTGACGAGACAGGTTACAGAGATTGTGACCACTACAGGGACCACGGCCTACCGGGACAAACCTGGAGGGCCCTATTCACTTCGCTGGGACCGTAGGAACAACGATTCCTGGAGGAGTGTCGAGGATAGAAATCCCCGGACGCTGACTGATTATCGTGTTAGCGGAAGAGAGAGAGACGATGAGCCATGGCGACGTAGGGATGATGAGATAGACCGAGACCACAGAGATCGCGAGCCGTTTGCGCGAGCAAGGAGGCTGGATGATTACCCGCGAAGCCCTCGCTATCAGGCCGATCTCGGTAGAGGCGACTCCCGCGGCCGATGGGAGACAGATCAGGGCCGACGAGATGGATATAGGGACGACAGATACGAGAGATCAGACCGAGATGGATATAGGGACGGCAAATACGAGAGATCGGACCGAGACGGATATAGGGACGGCAGATACGAGAGGTCGGGTCGAGATGGTTACAGAGGTGGTAGGTATGAAAGAGGAAATCGGGATTGGGAACGACGAGATGGGTCGCGCGCACGGTTTGAGCGCGGGGGAGATGCGAGAGAGCAGCGCGACGAGTCGCGGGGGTGGTACAACCGAGGGGACCGACGCGATGAGTCACGAGGGCGATATGACTCCGGGGACCGCCGGAATGATTCGCGAGGGCGGTATGAGCAAGGAGGGTCTGGAGGAGACCGCCGCAACGATTCGCGCGGTCGGAATGAGAGAGGGGTATATGACGTCTCATCAGAACCATATCCGAAGTCGCCTGACCCTAAGGCAGCCAGGAGTTCAATCTCTAGAAGCGCAGACGACGGGCCATCTACTCCCAGGAACTCATGCGTCTATTGTAGAGGAGAAAATCATATCAAGAGGGATTGCCCGGACCTCAAACAGGCAATAGATGAGGGACTTGTCGTGCTTGACGAAGTGGGCAGATGGTCTGGGAGATGTATCGATGTTCCCTTCGATGAAGGAGAATGTCGAGAGTAAAGCCGAGTAAAGAAAAGGAGCCGGTCAGGAGCCAGAGCATCAAGATAACCTTTGAGGGGGATATGGCGGCCACACCCATAAGGGTGGCAGCCACCAAGTCGGCAAGAGGGTCTACATCGAAGAAAACTAAAACGGATTACATGATGGCGGAGAAGGACGGACAGCGGGTCGATGGAGAGGAGGTTATCCTTTCGCCGCGAAAGCGGGGAGTGAAGAAGTTCTTAATGAAGAGTTCGCTGGACGAGATTGACACGGTCGAGCCACTGAGGCGGGCCCTTCGGCAACCCATGCAGTGCTCTATTCTGGAGTACCTGGCGGCATCGAAGCCGGCTCGTGATGAATTACAGATGATCACGCGGAAGACTCGCATACCTCTATCAGAGGAGGGTCAGGGGGCCCTTAAAGCGGAAGCTTCTACAGTAGCAGTAACGGGGGGGACTGTCATTGCGGATCGCATGGCGACAGTCCTTCTCGATGGGATGGAAGGTGTGCCTCCAGACAAGTTTTATATACTTGGTAGCGGGGCCGTGGAGACGATTATAAACGATGGAGCGATACTCGATGCTGTGATTGATAACGACAGTGAGGCTGTCATCATAGACGAGGACCTGGCAGTACAAGTTGGACTGGGCCTCGATAGGTCATACCTATTCGAGATAGAGACGGCTGATGGAAGAAAGCAACAAATCACTGGGGTTTGTCACAAGGCAGCCATAGAGGTCCAAGGGGTAAGAGTGACCCTGCCTGTCTTTACAGTCAAGAACTGCAGCTCCGACCTGCTCTTGGGTCGAACGTGGCTGAGCCACGTGCATGCGGTGACGATAGAGCGACCTGATGGGAGCCAAACANCTCCGACCTGCTCTTGGGTCGAACGTGGCTGAGCCACGTGCATGCGGTGACGATAGAGCGACCTGATGGGAGCCAAACATTGTCCATTAGGAAACCAGACGGGACGCGGGTAATGATTGAGATAGTGGAGCCCCGGGAYCCGAGGAACAGAGCAGCTCTCGCTGTGGTTGCGGTACCCAGTGATCAGATTACGTCGTTACCTATCTCCGGCCGCGCGGTGCGATTTCGCGAGAAGAGATATGGACCACTGCTCACAGAGGAAGAAGGTCGGATCGTGGAGGTGGAAGATTTAGGGAGTCGGCTAATAGTAGACGGCAACTCGTACCCGAAGGAAAAAGATGAGGAATTTGGCGGTGTGGTATCCGTGTCTTTTTTAAGGGCACGGCCCCCTACGGGGGGCTACCCAAGCGACACAAGCGAGTAGCTCAAAAAGTTAAGCCAGCCGTGGTGGGCCGCGAGCGATCTGCACTGGAAGGGATATCGGAAGAAGAGATCGCGAAAGAAATCAAAGAAAGAAAGAGAAAGGAGCCGCAACGCCTAACGGAAGAGAGGATAGCAGGGATGGACATCTGAGATGGGAATTTCACCCCAAAGGAGCGAGAATGTGTGATAGAAATCCTGAAGACATGTGATAAGGTCATAGTTTTTAGTGACGCGGAGCGCGGTAGGATTGACTCTCGATACGCTAAGCCAGCAAGGATTTACACGATACCACATGTTCCCTGGAATGACGCGGGATGAAAATACGCTCAGAAGGAGAAGGAAGAAGTTATCACTTGCCTGAAAGAAAAGATGGTTTCCCATGTTGCGGAGCCGTCTGATAGCGCTTATGCTAATCGATGGTTCTTCCTACAAAAGCCGAATGGCAAGATCCGATGGATTCAGGACCTTCAGAAGATCAACGCGGTGACGATACGAGACGTGGGCTCCGTGCCACACGCCGATTTACTGGCAGAAGGCGCCGCAGGTAGGTCGATTTATTCCGTCTGTGATCTGATCTCAGGCTATGATGAGGTACCACTTGACCCTAGAGACAGGCACCTCACGGCTACTCATACGCCATTGGGACTAATACAGATGATGGTTGTCCCTATGGGTTAGACTAATGGGGTAGCCGTTTTTCAGAGAGCCATGTCCTCAAGGACTTCATCCCTGATAAGGTTGAAGTTTTTCTGGATGACTTTCCTATAAAAGGGCCAGTAGACAGGGATGAGACAGAGGTTGTACCTGGAGTTAGAAGATTCGTCGAGCAGCACCTAACAGATATTTGCGCGGTACTCGAGCAGCTGGACGATGCGAATTTAACAGTCAGCGGAACAAAGAGCCGATGGGCCGTCTCGACTATTAAGATCTTGGGCTTTATATGTGACTCGAGAGGACGCCGAGCAGATCCGGCGAAGTTAGAGACCACAATTGAAAGGTCTCGCTCGAAGCCGGGCGCACACAACAGGAAGGGATTTGCATTGTTTAATTTAATTTATTTATTACAAACATCATCCAAAATCCTGCGTGATAGTCTGTTGGCTTTTTCGGTCGCCCGAAGCGGTCCGACTGGGAAAAAGTGCGACAGGGTAAGTATCCGGCCGGCCATACCATCACCTCGTATGTTACCTTCGTCTGAAGGACCCCCGCCCGGTGTTCGTCGATAAACTCTCTAGCCCGTTGCAGACACTCCCGCTTTGTCAGGTTTTCTTCTATGTGCGCTCTGAGTAAGACGATCGCTGTAAAGCCTTCGTTAACTAATTATTTGCTTACTTCAACCTCAACTGATGTCCGCCCTAACATTCCTCCTACTCTCGGTCCTCGAATAAATACCTCAAGTTCTTCAGCCCAACGTATTTGTCCTCAACGCGCCTCCGACAATAATCCATCAGATCGGCTGGCCTCAGACAATCTACCCAACAAGTTGCGTCAATCAGCCCCCTTACCGTCTCGTAGTCAAAGTGCCCCCACCGTACACAGACAACGAAATACGCTTCCTTGAATCGGGGCGCTAACCTCAATCCAAAAGCAAAGTGAGTGTCGTTAACTGCTCGACTCAAATTCCTAACACCTCGTATGTTTGTTCTATCACGAACGCGGGCAGGGCCCACCTCCAGCCCTGCACGGGGTAGAGGTCTGCCCTCGGGGGTTCAAATACAACGAGCACCAGTGGCTGACTACTCCCGGCTAGTGTGCTCGCCTTCCTAGTCATAATACTCCTCGCTAGGGCTTCGCACCTCCACCAGGTCCACCCAACGCCGACAAGTGTTAGCCCTATCTCGAGTTCCTGCGACTTGTCGAATACAAGATGTCCGATTGCCCCCACCTGCCTGTCACCATTCGCCTTTCTAACTTCTAAGATCACTGACCACAAGAACACTCCTTCCGCTACCCACGTTCCCGTATACCTAAGTGGCACGCTCTCACTCTCGTTCAGTCGCACAGGGAGAGGAATGTTGAACCCAAGAGCAGTCTCTCTGGGTTTTGTCAATCTCTTCACCTTGTACGAGTCAGAATCGAGTAGTAGCAGATATGCCCACCATGCGCTCGAATCACTCCTCATGTCTCTGTCTGCCTCACAAGTCAGCCCGCGGAGCTCTCATTCTAATTACCAACTTCACCGTCTCACGACACTCAAACTTTGACAGGTTCCTCCCTATGACCGAAGGAGCTGGAATACGGTCGAATACTTCAATCTCTGTAGTCCAGCTAACCGTATTTTCCTTTGCCTCTAATCGTTCCTTTTCAGCTCGCACCAACTTGGCCGCTCTCTTCCAACTGCTCCCGTAAAGGTAGCCTCCTGTTCGTCTCCTGGGACGATATACCCGCACGTCATACTCATCTAAGTTGATGATGCAGTAGGTGAGGACATACAACCGCTCGTGTTTTATGCCGCCCTTCTGAACATACTCATACTTAAGAAGCTCGTATGGCAGTATACCCCTCTTCGTCCTCTCGTTCAAGTTGTGTATTACTTCATCGATCTCCTCTCTAGTTGGCCCTCGCTCGTAAGGCGACCTACGACTCCAACATACCTGTGTAAAGAAGATCGCGTGTTTGCCCTTCGACTACTCCCTTCCTCCTTATTTTCTGCGACGTACCGCACGTATCTAGGCTCTAAGATCGACCACTATCCTCGAAAAGTGGATCGGCCCCCCAGCTGCCCCTCCCTCACCATCGACCGGCTCTGCCTCGTTGTCCGACTCAGATACCTCCCTGTCGTCGTCCATCTCCGGCTCTAGGTCATATCCTGACGCTCCTATCCTCTCGTAGTAACGCGTGAGCAGGCGTGGGGATATAAGTGCGTCACTCCACCAGGCGTCCCAATCGTCCTAAGAAAGAGTCGCCCCAACGAAGCGACGTACTCGGGTCCCGCTCTAAGCTCCCTATCCAGAAGGTCCCACACGCATGATCATGGAGCTCATCTCCAACCTGACGATGTCGCTTGAGTCCAGTCTCTACACAGAGTGGGGGCTATAGACCGCACCAACTCTATAAGTTGAAGCCTCTCGTCGCCCCTGCGCAAAGCCCCGGTCAATAGAAAGTAGTAAATATAATCCGTGTCGAGACCGCTACGGGAAAAGGTACTGAGGTCCTGTAGCGTCAGGTAGGACTTCACCACCCCACCTATTCCTTCGAACAGCTCATCCGCCACGAACGTGGGTATCGTCTGCAATAGAAAGGGAAAAACCTTGGTCCCGCGATACGGAGCTCTCCCGAGATATCCCTAGCGGGAACCCTGTGGGACCACCTCCTCTCTTTGGTCTCCTCGTCGCGCCGAAAGGAATCTATCTCCTCTCGGAGGTATCTCTCGGCGCAGTCTATAACCGCGCACGATCCCGAGATAACAAGAGATAGCACGACCTCCCTCGCGCTCTCAGCGCTTAAGAACAAATAAGCCCTCACAAAGCCCCGGCTAACCTGCTCTCTCATTCCATCCAACTCTCGATACATCCATAGCCAAACGTTTGGCCAGAGGACTATCGTCGCCATTGGAAACAATGGTCGTTGTCGTGGATGGGGCGAGAGAGAAAGGTGAACTCCACTAGTTCTCCCTCCACTAACTCTGGGGGCTCATACCTCCACCATTGATCTACGACGGGGAACTCCTTTGCCGCCGTAGGCTGCCACATCCACTCCGTCACCACGTACTACACCCTAGGCTCTGATGGCAATCCCTATCCTCGGGAAATGTGCCTCTGCGATGTCGTCCTCCTCTCCTGATTCGGCGTCCTCCCCGTCGGTGTCTACCCAATCAGGCTCCCAGGCCTCCTCGTCGTCGTCGTCGTCGTCGAGGTCCTCCTCTAATCGATATCCCGGCACCCCGATCGCCTCGTAATACCGCGTAAGCTGGTACACGGCTATGAGCGGTCAACATCTCCAGGTCCCCACGAGTTTCAGTACCCCGTGAAGAGTTGACCTATACATGTGGTGTAGTCGGGTCCCGCTCGAAGCTCACGATCTAGCAGGTCCCACACGTAGGCAGGCGGCGACTGTCCCCACTCATAACCCTCGTCCCACCAGGGTCTAGACGAGGTGGGAGCAATTGATCGCATCAGCTCTATAAGTTGTATCCTCTCGTCTCCTCATCGTGGCCCAGCGGTCACCAGGAAATAGTAGATGTAGTGAGTGTCGAGGTCCCCTCTCGAGAAATGCTCAAGCTCCACTGTAGTGAGATACGCCTCGACAAGGCCCCCTATACCTCCGAATGTCGCGTCGACGACAAAGGCTGGAACAGTCGTCCTCAGCCTACAACCCGCATACAGGAAAAACCCGCTACGAACAACCTGGAGCTCTCCGGAAATCACACGAGGAGGAAATCGGTGAGACCACTCACTAACGGCCTGCTCCTCCTCACGTCGAAAGGCCTCTACCTCGTCCTGCATGTACCTTTCTGCCCAGCCGATGATCTCACAAGTCCCGCAGACTATAAGGGTCAGTGCAGCCTTTCCAACCACCTCCGAACTCATATACAGGTAGGCCTTGACCTCCCCGTATGCGGCCTCTCCCGGACGTCTTCCACGCAGGTCCTGGTTCTTCTTAAGATCACTATGCATCCACAGTCAGGCTCCGGGTCACAGGAGAATCGATCGCCACCCACACAGAGCGTCATGCCAGTCTGTGGGTCGAGTCGGTACT